CGCTTTAGCTTCCACTCTCCGCACAAACTATTGGATATAGTGCACATTTATCTAGGTTTAACGTTTAAACATTGTTATATGCTTGAACTGTTTTATATCTATAGATTTTATTTTAGGCAAGTCGTGATGATTTGAGAAGGCTAAATTGATCAAACATAGGCTATGATCAGCTCACTGTCTGCCGCTGGCCGCTTGGTCTTTACTTTAAAAAACAAAAACTTATATTTAACGACCAAAAAATGCTCCAAACGTTTTTCTAAATTAACTTAATAGAAAAACGCCCGTGCAGGGCTCTAGCCTGAACATCTTCAAGTGAGTGGCCGGGCAAACCGAAAGTTGATGCCGAAAGTCCAACACTCTCCTACCTTCACTGCTGCGACTACTCTTGTTTGTATGCGTTCCTTCGCTGGCATTTTCCACATTTCGTTTTTCTCCCTTAATAACAAATGTGTCCATTCTGATGCTCAATTTTACCGAACTAATGGCTGCTGATGACTATTTGAATTGAATTCTGCCAAAGTGCGCGCTTGTAAGTGTTCGTTAAATGCGTAACGTTAATTACGTGAGTACAGGTCTGCTCATGTCTGAAAATAATATATGAAAAACAAAATTATTTTACATAACAAAAACATTATAGCTTATATTTGTTTAGTAAATTTTTTAATTAATGTAAAAACTAAAATGAATTGTAAAATTGAAAGTTATTTTTTTAATTGTGTTGAGCATGGTGGGCCGCATTTGAATTTGTGACGGGCCGAGGGTTGAGAACCACTGCTCTATGGTATGTCTTCTACACAGCTGCGGGTATGAACAGTCAAATACACTTCAAAATTCAGTCAGTAAAGTACATTTTTACTAATTCCCTAGTAAAAATGTACTTTATCTTATATATTATGTCAGTATTCCAGCTGCTTTCAACAATCAATAAAACAAAGACTGGAAAAAAAAACCTATATAAAATGTTCATATATCAACATCATTGGTTTCTACACTTGCTTATTTCCCTGTAAAGACTGGCGTGTCTTTCGTGTGATTCTCAGCGTAATGTTAATCGTTCTCTGTCTTGTATGGAGGACGTGTCACAGTCTGTCGCCTCTCCTCCCGCTTGAATACAAACAGACTGCAGACAGCTTCCAATAGTGAGAGGTTAAGATACTCACGACCCTGTTATGTTAATCTCTCTCTCTCTCTCTCTCTGCTGTTTACTTTCATTTGAGAGCATGTTCTCAGAAGTTGCCCAGATATTTATGTCATTAATCACTGGCTGTAAGACACAGCGCCACGGATGGAGGCGTTAAACTCAGGCCCGTAGGCTCGTGAATTCTCTGGCATGCGGCATGCGATCTTTAACTATGGAGGTGTTTGAGACTGAATTAGATCAAAGTGGGCCTCGTGTAAGGATTACAGAGGCGAGAAAATGCAACAGGCATAATATTGACAATGCTAACAGAGAAGTGAGGAGAAGCAAGCTGATGTGGTAGGCAACAAGGCTTTCTTTCTTGATTTTAAGAGCATTGGACTGAGGGCTATATATAACGCTACTGATCTTCTGTGGAGATGTAAAATTCATTGTCGATGTTTTCTCGTGAAATGTTGAATAATTTCAGGAAATAAAAAAAAACGTCTTTCGGTTTGTAATGCCTCCGCGTTTTCTGATGTTATTGTGAAAAAATAATGTGTATGTTATTCCAAAGGAAAGTTTTTGTAATCTTTCATCATAATGTAAATACTTTCCCTGTCTCTAAAACAAGTTTCTTTTCATCTGATGTAATCAGGCTCCTTTTTTAACCCCTCCCCTAACCACATGACTCCATTCTGACATGTGGTCAATGCCATAAAAAAGGAGAAATCTTTTAAAAACAAGTTTAAAACACATGAGGCAAGCTTTAAGAAATGTACTCTCATGTGTGTTTCATTTGTTTTCTTAACAATAAAAAATAAATTAATTAATTAATATTATTATTATTGTTGTTGTTACTATTTTTATTATTATTATTATTATTATTATTATTATTATCATTATTAATATTATACCAGTTTTAAGAGAAAAAAAATTGTATTTAAAAAATGTGTTGTGCCATATACCATATACACCTTAAATACTTGTGTACATATCTTTATCAATATTCTTAAAATTTGAAATATATTTTTTACAGTTTATTTAAAATATGTGTACAAGTTTCTTTTTTATTATTAATTAATTAATTCAGAAATATCATTCATTTTTGGGTCGCACCAAATGACAACCTTGCCTTACCATACAAAGATCAAATTATCTGATTACCTGATATTTTAAGATAATTATTGACCTTGACATGTTCGTTCTATGATATCATTTCCTGTTTGATTTTTCTTCTTCTTCTTCTTCTTCTTCTTCTTCTTCATTGTTATATCAGTACAGTTGTATCACCCTCATGTTTTTGACTTCACTGTATGACAATACTTTTGAAAACATAAATTAAAAACACTATCATCATAGAAGAGCTCTAATTAGTCATTTTATGTATGAATTGCATTTTTAATACACTGGCAGCATTACTCATCCCTAACCATCATCACTATGACAACAGAATGATGGAGCGAAGTTATTTTAAAATGTAAGAATTTATGGTCCGTCTTTGTCTTTGTATTTAGCTGTTATTGTTTCCTCCTTTTCTAACTCTCTCAGGAACTCAACAGGATTCTGTCCGGTTTCTCCATTGCTAAATCTACCCCTTTTACTGACACAATACTGATCACTATCTGCCAACGAGAATACCGTTCATCTTTGTTGTCTTTTTTTGAAGCATTTTTGTGGGAAAAGGTATTGACAATGGAGAATAACAGACGGCTGCTGCCAATTTAGACAGGCGTTGCAGTCCGTGGAGATTTGAGCACATTTATTAGCCTGATCTACTGCCAAAGATCCCATCAGAGCGATAAGAGGATGGACAGGGCCTGACGTTTGAAACGGAAACACGAGGAAGCTGAGCGCTCTCGGGAGATTACAGGAGATTATGAGATATTAGATTTGATAATGGACTATGTGTGTTTTGTCTGTGATAATGTAAAAATTACAATCTGATTGGCTAAAGGTCTCCGACCTTTAGGATTCTCACATTTCTCTCTCTCTCTTTCACACAGATGCAGATCTTCATGTATAACTCAGACGACTTTGACAGTCTTAACACAGCCATACGGGAGAAGCGAGTAATTGCGGCCATGGCTGTCTTCTTTCAGGTGAGAACTCGCTCGGTTCGAAAGCGTCTTCATGTTCAGCCGCTGAGCTTTGTCAGTGCTAAGTGCTTGCATTAAACAGCATTGATTTTGCAAGGAGGTTTTCTCTCGTCCCATTAAGTTCAATGATACTGAAGCTTCACACTCACTGAAACTCACTGCCGCTGTTTTCTATATGGAAAAACACACACGTATTCACTCCCTTTCTGCGCTGTTCTTTTGTCAACCCCACTGTGATAATTACAAAACAACAATTTAAGGCTTGCAGTATTTTACCAGGAGCTCTGTGTGTGTGTGTGTGTGTGTGTGTGGGTTTGTATACTCATTTCTCACATTTTGAGAAATTACACATCTGTCAGTGCAGTCAGGCTGTAATAATCCAGAGTTCAAAAGATTCATCAAACACTTCAGAAAACAATTGAACTTAGAGGGAGGGAGTTAATGGGTCAGGTTTTGCCTACAAAATGTCACCACAAGGACAGTAAAACATTCTTTAGGTGATGCATTAAATTAATTAAAGTGACAGTAAGTATATTTATAATGTTACAAAGATTTTGTATCTTTCTGTCTGTATTTCAAATAAATTCTGTTCTTTTGAATGTTTTTATTCATCAAAGAATCCTGAAAAAATAAAATCACAATATTAAGTACCACTATTTTCAACATTGATGATAATAATAAGAAAAGTTTCTGTAATAACTGTAATATTTCCCAATATTACTGTTTTACTGTATTTTTGATCAAATTAGTGCACCCCTTATTTCAAAAACTTCCAACCCCAAATATTTGAACAGTACTGTATATAGTTCCAGTTTAATTGAAATACCAAATCTAGAAATCATTTGTTAAAAATTTACAGACGCAAAAATGCATGCATATATAGATGTTTGTTATAGACATTAAAACTTTAGCTTTTCTTTAAAGAAAAAATTGATAATATGAGAAATCCGGCATCCCCAAAGCTCAGAAGACTGATCAATATATGACATGATAATGTTTTCCATTCGAAAAGGTTGTCTAAAGTCTGACGAGAGTTTTATATATTCCCCCCTAAACCCTCACTCATCTGTCTCATTCGGCATCTGTCTCATATGCAGTTATCGGAGGAAATCTTTGTAGCATGTGTCCCGCTCGATATCTCTTTTTATTTGGAACTCACACCATTTTCTTTATTGCCCGATCATTTAGTCTATCTGTCCCTGATTAAAGAATATAGCAGTCGTAACATCTGTCATGATATGTTCATAGGCTTATTTACAAGACACATGTCCACAAACTAAAGTGCAGCTATTAGCTGCTAGCATGTCGCCAAAGATTTTCTCTTTAATACACTTGAGACCACAGGCTTGTTGGTGGCCCAGGACACTATAAATCATTTTTAGGTTGTTATTGCCCGATCATTTAGTCTATCTGTCCCTGTCCCTGATGTCCCGGTCGTAACATCTGTCATGATATGTTCATAGGCTTATTTACAAGACACATGTCCACAAACTAAAGTGCAGCTATTAGCTGCTAGCATGTCGCCAAAGATTTTCTCTTTAATACACTTGAGACCACAGGCTTGTTGGTGGCCCAGGACACTATAAATCATTTTTAGGTTGTATATAATTTATTGTTGGTTATTGTTTCAAGTTATTGTCCTGTGCTGCTTTACAGCTTGCAGTTATTTGCATTTCTCATTTAGTTTTAATCAATTGCAGGGCTTTCTATTTTTTTTTCTTTCTCTCTCTGTTACAGCTCACAGCTGCCGTATTAAAAACCTCAATCTGAGCTCAGTACAATAAATGAGCATTTTTATTTTCCATCTGCTAAAATGTACTTTGAACTTTATTGATTTGCATGTGCTATTTTTACTCGTGAGGTGGAACAGAGCTCTTAAACTCAGTTTAAAGCTGTTTGCTGCTATTTATTTTACCTCAGGGTTTGTTCTACAAGGAAGTCCAGGTGTTTGTGGGTTGTGGGTGACCTCTTGCATACGGACTCATTTGTAGAGTGCTTTCACTATTCCAGCCTATATGAATGCAGTGCAGAATGCAATATGAGCTCTGTTAAATGGATAGTTATTCAAAAAATTAAAATTTGTTAATTTATTCACCCTCAGACCACCCAAGATTCTAATACTGTGGTCCTTGGTGATTCATAAAAAGCAAGTCAGTAGCTACCGAAATTTAACAGTATAAAAAAGGACATACAGGTAAGACGAAATTAATACCCGTGGCTCCTGACGATACATTGAGGTCTTATGAAGCACAATGATCGGTCTGTGCAAGAAACTGAACATTATTTACAACATCATTACCTGTAACCCTGAGCCTCAGGCTAACGGTCCGGAGTGATGTTCGGTTCACAAACAAATTATTATTTTGAACTGGTTCTTTTTAGTGAACGTTCTGCTATGGCAACATAGGAAACTCAGTTCTGTCATGACAACTCTCGGAGGGATTGGCATGGTAATGTACATTACAATGTTAATGTATTTGAGCTTTAGCGAAATAGATCTGCTACGCTGCTGCTGCAGCAGAGCAAGTACCGAGATTTGCTACTGCCAATACATCCACAACATGCTGCTGTGAGCATGTAAGAAATATTGCTGCTGCAAATATAACACATGAAATAACCCCCATATAGCGTACATGATTCACCTCGTAGCAGATCTATACAGGTGGAGCTGGGGAAGGTGGAGGGTTTCTGAAGCAAGCTGCAACTGCTACAGCAATTCATGCCAGAACTCTGTATGTAAAATTCTCTATGTAGGCGGCAACTATTCCTCGCATTCAAGGGATAGTTTACGCAAAAATGAAAAATCATTTACTCACCCTCATGTTGTTCCTAACATAAATGACTTTTTTCTTCGTTGGAACAGTTGGAACACTTTTTTCTGAAGAGTGCTGGCAACTAAACAGTTTTGTCATTTTGGAATGACATGATGGTAATGATGGTAAGACAGAATTTTCACTTTTGGAGTGAACTATCCCTTTAAGTTTCCTCCAATGTCAGTCTGATGTTGTTGACCTGCAGAGACCTCACACTGTCTCTCTCTCTTTTCCTCCGGCCCGACATTTTTGGCCCCGTCATTTTTCAAACACTC